AACTCATGCGGAGTGGCTTTAGCTTCTCAGTGCAGTGCTTTAACCCGCTGCACCACCAGGGAGGGCCCCTAGTGCTGTGTTTTAACCCACTGCACCACCAGGGAGGGCCCTTCTTTGGCATTTTTATGTGCAGAGAAAACTGATTTTTCCTTCTGCCTTCTACCCTCTGTTGTCACTATCCCCCCCTCCACTAATCACAGAGAAAAGAATACAGAAATATGCAAAACAGTCTCTTTACACCAGGACTTGGCTGACCCAGGACTGATACTTATTACTCTAGAGAAATTTTTTCAAGATGATTATTGCTTTGAGTTGAGACTGTAGTCTCCGTGAAAAATCTGGAAGGGAAAAAAAAATTGCTCACAATCTGGGGAGCAATTACATCTTCCCATCAGCTGCAGGCTCTTAATCTGTTCTGGGGAAGAGTTGTTGATGGTTCTGTGCAATTTGGCTGCCTTGTATAAATAAATTAGTTTTCAGGTTTATTTTAAGAGGGGGGAGGAGTCTTGAACCCAGTTTTGACAACAGTACGTAGGATCTGCTAACAACACTTGCTAATCAGAGCACAGTCTTTAAAGGGGACTTCCGTCATAGCTGAGAAGCTTGTCGCTCTACTGGTTGCCAGGGTCTTGGTAGCTGCCTCTTCAGGTGCCAGATGATGGAGTTAGCAGGCTGGCCTGTACCTGTGCCTTGCAGGAGGTTTTCCTTGGTTATCAGGAGTGGCATTTGTCATTCCAGGGCATGATGCCTTGGTGTCCTGGGGAATCCTCTTTAACTTCTCTCACTGCATAGGGGAAGAACATTCAGGGCTATCTGGTAAAAGATAAAGCTGGAATTTTCTAGCAACACTGAGCCCTAATGCAGTGGAAGGAGCTCTGATTATGGAATCAGGAAGCTGGATTTACAGCTCTTGTTTCTGTCATGTCTTAGTTCTGTGGCCTTGATTCTGAGAGGTTTACAGGGGAACGTGTAAGAGGGCTCTAAAACAAATCCAAATTGAGAATACCTGTCACGTACTCAGGGGTCAAGATAGGTTTCATGAATCTGGAATTTGATGCAGCTGATTTGGGTGAACCAATTTTACAGCTAAATTCAGGGGGGAATATTCTGCCTGTTGGTACGTGGTTTTTGCTCTGGACCTCAAGGAAGCCCAAGGAAAGTCATGATAGTTTGTATTAGACCTAACTACTAAATTCATGAAAGATAAACCATGAAAAAGAAAAACTATCCCATAGAGCTTTGTCAGCTTCAAGTAGGAACTCTGTTTTCTGTAATCTGAGGCCATGGCCTTGCTGAGTGCAGAGCTATACCCCTGACTTAGCATCCATTGCAGCTTCTGCCCAGAGAGATTTTTCTGACCAACTGCCTCAAAACCAGTATCTCCCATCCCATACCTCAATCTGCTTATTTTATGTTATGTGGTATACTTATCACCTGATTTGTATTTGTATATTCTTATTTCCTTCAGATATAAATCTGAAATAAAAATTTCATGAATATGTCATTCTCTCACTCACCACTATCTGGAATATTCCCTAGTGTCTAGAAAAATGCTGGTGCCTATTAGCCCCCCAAAAATATGTCATGAATAACTCAATCTAATTTGTGCTTCAGGCAGTGCAAATCCTAGCATCCCCTCTTTTCTCAACCAAGAAATCTGCAGCTTTTCCCATGGGG